TGTGGCTCCTGTCACTCTTTTCTTTCTTCTTCAAATCTTTTTCCTCTCGTTGCCTGCCCCTCCGCATCTCTCAGTTTTCACGCTCTCTCAAATTTCTCTTTACACATTCCCTGGAGGATGATTGATCCCAAGCTTTACAAGTGATGCTGCTCGAATGAACGCTTTCACATTGCATCAATAGAGATCTGGAGGCAAAATGGCGGACAAGGGGGGGGGGGTCAAGTTGAAGGACCCTGTGCTACTCAATGCTCTGGGATTTCTGATGGGCTAAAGTGAGACTAAAGAATTGTATCAACGGTGGATTAATATGGAAGGAGGAAACTCGATGACCACCATGGGTATCGGGAACAGTATAGGACTTGCTTCTCCTTGTAGAACGCAACCTGACACCCAGCGCTAAAAATATCCTCGCACGATAGCGCCTGTTATCCCACGCAAAGAATCAATTACTCACAGCAAAACATTGCGTCATACAAAAAGTATTCTTCACATTCCTGGCTGATGATATACGAGATAAGCAAGCTCACCACCTTAATACCCTCAGAACAGCAGCTAGTTGGGTGGTGTTGTATTAGTATTACGTTTCAGCCTACTCCAAGTGCTTTTACTTGTTAGCCTTTGAGCGCGAGCATTGAGGTGTGGGGAACGAAAAATATTATGGCGACATTTTCCTTCATACCGCAGTTTGATTTGGAATACCCAGGATTGAAATAGGCACACTTCACTGGTTTAGGAAAGAAACGAGGAAAAGCGGTAACTCTTGTCCAGGCTATCTTGTAAAACTCTCTCAACTCCTGTAAAAGTGCTTTCATACTTTGCGTCGGCATTTGGAGCATTTTGAGCGAATAGGTGGCTCAGGTACGATCCAGGGGGTTGACGATTCCTGCAGTTACGCTCTCACGCCCATAACTGCCGCTAGCGGCGTACTTGTTTGATCTCTTTTGTGGCCCGTCCTCTCCCATTACCCTGTCATGTACAACCAGGAATGTTTTGCGCAATGACGCTGTTCCCAGCCCGACTCAAACACAGTATAGGTCAGCATCAGTGTCCAGCGTTCTCTCGCATGCGAGCGTGAGCCAACGTTAAGGAGCTTAAGAATCGCCGAAGCTTCTCACGCTCTAGTACCACCTGAACAGCCTCAAACCATCTCCCCTCTAGCCGCACGTCAGAAAAGCGCAGAAGTAGCACACCTAAAGCTAACACAGTGGTATACCGCAACCGACAACTCTATCCTTAAGCCGATTAACGGCTCAGTAGTTCAAGCGTCATGGCAGCGCACCTGGGGACCAGCACTCTTGATTGGCCGACCGGGACTTAGGGCTATCACAATTGAAAATTAAACCAAAATCGTACCTCCACGGTCACGCGCAAAAGAACCGATACATTTATGGACTAGGATGACTAAAGTCAACCATTCAGAGTCTCAAATAAGGACATCGATCGCGTCCCCGACTCTTTTTTTTTTCCTGGAAACACAACCCTTGAAAAAATACGGAGACCTTGCAAAGAATGAATGGCTCTCAGTCAAAAGGAATACATCTTACTATTTTCTCGGAATCTTTTCCTGCAAGGAATTGAGTTCCCTTACCCTGAGCTTCTTCCTTCGACCTGAATCGGGCGAGAGCACCGTTTCGACCTGTGTGAAAAACACATTCCTGCGAACCAGTTTGCTCATAAGCATTTTCCCAGCATTGACCCGCCAGTACAGCATATAAAAATGGAAGAGACCGAAGTTGACAGGCTTTTTACGAAAAGGCCGCAGTGTGTGACAGAGGTCAAAAAAATGCCTCTTCAAGCGGAATTGCTCCAGTGATTGTATAAGCAGCATCTAGCAGAAGGTATCACCACAGATCTAGCTCGTCCCCCCCCCACTCTACATAGATGACTCGAGTAGGTGGATAATGATTTTCGGCACTATTTACCCTTTACTGCCCCAATCTTCCAAAAGCAAGCCACTTTTTGACCGACTTTTCGTGCCAACGGCCAAATGTGCTAAAAAATTTGTCCCCTGGGGTAATCTCGACCTCCTTAAACATGTATATCACATCCGCTCAGCATGAACCAAATCACCGCCGCCTGTGCCAGGCACCAGGACGTATGGGCCAAGCGAATGTGATATTCATGTAGGCGGTCATACTACGCCAAGGAGTCCAAATTTGAGCTAAATATGTCCACGGAGGAAAAAGTCGCTCGAAAACTGCGTTCCAATTCTGGATGTGTGGGCAACGTAAAGGGGTTAAATCAGTGGCCTGATTTTCTTTTCAATTACATGGCTCTTTTCATGGGATGGGCAGGTATACTGCGTACGAGGAAGCCCTTAACGGGTAGGAACGGCCCGCGATGACATATGAAAATGCAGAAGACTGTTATGGAAGGGTAGTGTGGTCCGCAGTGAAGAACCTTCTGCCAGTTTTACGGCCAAAACTGGTAAGGTTTAGGAGCTATGCTGCGAAATTGCTCCAGTGGTAGCTCCCTTTCTCCAGTGATTCCGCCTCCAGAATCCGTTTTAAAAGCCAGCCTCCAGCCAAAGCGATGATACCGAACAAGAAGCTTGTCTCTTGTAGTCATAGGGTTCATTACAAGGAGTCAGCAGACTGGAGTCGCCCCAACAAGCATTTTTTTGGCATTTCACCCGTGCAACTGTTTGAGGCTGAAGGGGTCATATTAAAGGTGTTTCCGACGTTCCTTTGGCATTTTCTCCTCACGGACGAGTCACTCGGCAACTTCCCTTCCACATTTCACCGCCGACACCTACTCGCCTTCGCGGACCGTGCCTTCAAGCTCTCAAGAAAGAGCCGCAATCCGCTCACCACCCTCACCAGTCAATTTTCGGAGCATGTTTCATCTCTTGGTGTCACTGGCAGTTGCCCAGCTATCGTACTGCTTCAGCGCCATCTAGTCGAAATCCAAAAGAGGCAATTTTCTCTATGGTACTGTAGTTTGCTCTGTTATTGGAGCGATATGGGTGACATGCGCATGCGGGCGAAAGCACGATTGTTAGGTATCAGTTGGGTAACCGGGCGTTCTATCATAGGAGCCCGAGACGACTTATATAGACTCCCATGCCGAACCGCGTTTGTAGATGCACAACGAGGGGCGTGATCGGACGAGTTCGCACCCGTTGGTGTTGGCTCTATCTCCTTGTCCGCTTACTCTCATCATTCGTAATGGGGAGTGCTAGTAGCGGAATAACCGCATCACCAGAATGCACTTAGCAATGGAAGTTGTGCGTTGCCGTGGCCAGTGGGCGGGACCGTGCCCTCTTTGCGAGTCGAGTCGCTTTCCTTACGTCTGTTTGAGCTGCAGAAGCAGTAGAACCTTCATGATTGCGGGCAAGACTACCATGTTCGAAAAAGCTTCTGAACATCAAGCGACTACGATTACAGTAATGATCTAGAATGAGGGTAAAAAATTCCTGTAATGCAATCATTCCTGCATCTACAGTTTAACCAGTAATGATATTTTAATGAGGCACAAATGATTCAGAGAGTCGGCAGAGGAGCAGTACCAACAGCAAATCGGAGCAGCGACACCACCACCGATTCCATTGCCAGTTGGTGACAAACATTTCGATCCGGAAAAGAGCGCCACTTTGAAGCTGATTAAGGTAGGTTGAACTGACAGACTTGTAATGCTTCTTAATCTGAATCAGCCAATAAAAGGTCGGGAAAACCTTGAAGGATGAGCAAGGGGGAGCCTCCACTTTGAAAAAAATGTTCTCCGTCATGCTTAGTTCGGCTTGGTGGGGGCTTTCTGCTTCCCATCGATCACTGCCGGTGCCTTCTATGGAGATCCGCGGATTCCTGTCAGGCTATACAGCGGTATGAGCTTCATTCAAATCGAACTATGAACCATATAACTCAACATGAATTAGCAAAAGAAACTAGCGGAAGTGTCCTCACGAAAATCCCTACACCTCCCTCGTCACAGTTCGTAAGGCTAAATCACTTTCCCGGCACTTGAGCGAGCTGGCGGGAATTCGTAAGGTGCTCCGGCACTGTAGTCCTGTTCAACTCTCTCCTTCCATTGGTGTCGCGTGTTGTCCCCCCTCATGAAAAATTCGTCATTCTTTCAGTGACGCTTGTGTGTAGCAGCTGCCTGACTGTGTGAAACAGTGTGACATCACTCATTTATGCACAGTAGTAGGACCCACTCCGCCCACACGACCACCAAGTACTGTGCTAGCGCAGTCTGGTTTTGTGGCGCACCAAATGGCACACAGTGAAGCCCACCTCGTGCTACCCCATGAGT